AGTGCCAGGGCTGGAACCTGCCTCTGCCTGATTCCCAAGTCTGTGCCTGTAACTACAATGCCAGGCAAGCGCTCTCCCCTGGGAGCAGGGCCCGAAGCCCACACCCACCTTTCCCAGCATTCCCCTTCCAGGCACTGTGAGGACCACAAGGGGGCCTGGGAATGCACATGAATAGAAGAGGGGGTGGGGCTCTGGGACTCAGCAAGGGTGCCCCAGCTCCAGATTAGTCTGGGGCCTGGATCCCCCCTTTGATGGGGTGGTCCCAAGTCACTGCCCAGAGCTTCACCTGGAAGAGAGGGTTCATTGGTGGTGGTGGAGTCCCCGGGGGGAGTAGACAGGGCCAGCAGACTATAGCAGGCAGAGGGGCCCTTTGTCCTCTCACCTAACAACAAGGCCTCCTCTTCCTGGGCCTGGGTACAGGGCAAGCTCAGGCCCATCAGCCTCCAGGTGTGGCGGGTGAGGTCCCAGGCCTGCTGCTCCCCATACCGAGCCACCAGATGTGAGGCCACCTCCATGCCACTCATCTTCTCTGGTGGAATTGCCATCGCCCCGGAAGAGCCCCGGAAGAGTGCTTCATTGTGCAGCCGAAGCTGGAACTCCTTCAGCTTCTCCTCCTTCAGTAGCTCCAAGTAATAGCCCAAATGGGCTCTGCTGGCCATCTCTGACCCAGAGTTGGGGGCCTGGGGGATGTTCAGGGCGCAGGGGAGGTGGATGGGTAGTGAGGGGCATCAGGCAGGCAGAGAACAGTGGTCTGCTTTTCCTTGGCCCCTACCATCTCCCACTGTGAGACTCCCACTGGGATCACTCCTCTTGGCTTGATAAACTCCTATTCAGCATTCAGAACCCAGTTTTGGAAACCCCAGGGCATCTGCCAATACATGGTGTTGGAAGTCGGGGAAGGGAATGGTAGGAAAAGTCATGGGAGTGAGGGGCCAGGAGGGGACTGAGAGACACTGAAAGAAGTCAGGTTATGTGAGGGTTCTGGGGTGGGGCCCAGGGCCTGGGAGTGGGTATAGGAGGGTGGGGGATGGGGTGTGGGTGATACTCACGGTTCTGTGTTTCTCAGATTCTTCCCTCTCCTGGGCTCTGAACTCCTGGGATCAATCTTTGAGCTGCAAGGCTGGCAAGGAAGTGGGCTAGGGGAGAGGCAAGGCAAGGGTTGGACTTCCAGCGTCCCCGGTCTCTTCAGACCTCTGCTGGCCCTGAGACACCAGCCAGTGACCACAGCCCCAGCCAGCCAGAGCAGGAAGAATGCATCACCCAGAGGAAACCCATGGCGTGTGTGGCCAGGGGAGGCGGGGTGTGGGGCACAGGCCCAGAAGGGCTGGTGCTGCAGCGGGTGCAGACCATACCACACATGGTGCACACACTTTCATGCAGGCCCCGCCAGCCTGGCACCCAGAGCCTGCCTGCAGACCGAGGGTGCAAACTTTCCTGGCATTTGGGTGTGGGGCCCAGGCCCAGGCTCTCAGGATGGGTGGGGCCCCTGTGTCTGCCAGGGGGAGACATTAGACCTGGGCCAGGGAGCACCCTTCCCAGCCTTTCATGGTTTTGGGGGCTTCCTCAGCCCCATTGTTCATCCTGCCATGCTCCAAGGGGCGCTGAAGCATGTGTCCCAGGCCTAGGGGTCTCTGTGCTTTGTGAGCAGCCTGGCACCCAGGTAGTAAACATTTCCGCCTGAAAGCAGAACAGCCCCCGCCTCATCCCTGCAAAGCCAGGCCTTGGGGGGAGCTGGGCCCAAACCTTCTTCCTCTTTTGTAGAATCGGCAGAGGCTGAGGTTTCCAGGATGAGGAGTGGCGTTACCCAACTGATTTGCTGTTGTATAATAAATAGCACCAGGCCAGGTGCGGTGGCTCACGCCTGTAATCCTAACACTCTGGGAGGCCGAGGCGAGAGGATTGTTTCAGCTCAGGAGTCAAGACCAGCCTGAGCAAGAGCGAGACCCCGTCTCTACTAAAAATAGAAAGAAATTAGCTGGACAACTAAAAGACACAGAGAAAAGTAGCCGGGCATGGTGGCGCATACCTATAGTCCCAGCTACTGGGGAGACTGAGGCAGAAGGATTGCTTGAGCCCAGGAGTTTGAGGTTGCTGTGACCTAGGCTGACGCCACGGCACTCTAGCCCAGGCAAGAGAGTGAGACTCTGTCTCAAAAATAAATAAATAAATAAATAGGACCAGGAGTGTCTGGAGATGCCTCGATTTGACCTGGGCTGGCAGAGTCCAGGCTGCAGCCCATGGTTACATGGATGCTCACTCCTTGTGTGGCTGATTCACTTCTCTGAGCGTCAATTTGCTTATCTATTAAATGGGACATCATAGGTTTGCCAAGAGATTGAAATTCGACAAAAGCTTTTTGTAATCATTAAATAATATTAGGTAAGTGTTAGTTTTTTTTCAATGGCTGATAAACCCATTGTAAGACATTCTAACATCAGACTTACCAGAAGTGGAAAGCCCTGCACTAAAAGCTGGGATGACCAGAGGGTTCTGAGTGCTCCATGAAGGACCCTGAGACCCTGTGTGGTGGGAGGAATGTCCTGGGGGAGGGGTGTAGGGGCTTTTTTCCCCCCTCCTGACACCAACCAGTTCTGACGCCAAATCTTCGGACACCAACTGGATGTGCTACAGTTCAGTTCAATTCTGACACTAACTGCCTGGAGCTGGCGTCAGACCCCACAGGTTTATGGGCTCAGTTTTGCAAAACTGCCCTCACTTCACATGTGAGTTGCAAATGGGGTTCCCAGACCACTTGCACCAAATAACTCGGTGACCAATTCAGGGGTTCCCACAGCCCCCCTCAGATTTGATAATTTGCTAGAACAACTCACACGACTCAGGAAAGCATTTATGATAAAGGACACAACTCAGGAACAGCCAAATGGAAGAGCTGCCTAGGGCAAGGATGGATGGGGTACAGAGCCTCCTTGCCCTCTCTGGGCACACCAACCACCTTCCCTGCACCTCCATGTGTTCCCTACCAGGAAGCTCTCTGCTTTTGTCCTTCTCCCATTATGTCTTATAAAATGTAGTACGATGTTTTCCTTGTTAGAGGAATGTAGTAGGAACTTAGTAGGACACAGCTTGACACTTAAAAATACTTTTACGTTATTGCATGTTCTCTCATTCTGTTTTT